ATCAAACCTTCGTTCCAGTTGCGTATTGCTTCTTCGTAAATCACTGGTGTTATCTTCGTAAATCACTGGTGTTATCTTCGTAAATCACTGGTGTTATCTTCGTAAATCACCGGTGTTATGATCAAGGTTTGATTAGGAGTTCGATTAAGTGAGATTAAGTTTGATCAAGGTAAGTCAGGGTTAGGTGAGAGAGAGAGAGTGGTTTAATTCTTCAACATTTCGTATATAAATAACTCCTATCCTCACCCTATAACTAATATCTATCTGCACAATAGATTCAAGTCTATTAAATTTATTTATACTCTTCACTTCAGTTGTCATATCAAATTAAAGTGTATTAACTAACTGTAATTTATTCCATATACAGTACAATAATTACACATGTATATACAGCGAGTGAAGGAAAGTTTATTATTATTATTATTATTATTATTATTATTATTATTATTATTATTATTATTATTATTACTGGACTACACCTCTCTCTCTCTCTCTCTAATTATCTCTCACCACCACCCCTCACCGACCCCCTTATCTTCACACACCTGTCCATAGTAAATCACTTACCTGGCCCCCGTCTCCTTCATGATAACTCTGTCTTTCGTGTGTGTGTGTGTGTGTGTGTGTGTGTGATATTTCATGCCTATCTGTCTATCTACCTGTTTCTTCTTCCTCTCTCTCTCTCTCTCTCAACAGCCACTTGTTAAACGCAGTAAAATACAGCACCCTCTTAGAGTATATCCTGACCCCATCTCAACGATGGACGAGTAGCAGTTGTCCGGTCTTCTCGGACTATTCCGTGACACTGGGTCATGCAGCTCGTTAACTCAGGGTGTGGTTGTTGTGTTGGCGACAGCTTCTACACCTTAAACAAATTCACGCTTCGGTGGCCCTTGGGCCGACCATCCTCGTACACGAGGGGCAACCATTAGGAGCACACCTGTATGATACGGTCACACCTGAGCTAATACCTGGACTATTTGTTTGGTTTGTTTCTTCATATATATATATATATATATATATATATATATATATATATATATATATATATATATATATATATATATATATATATATATATATATGCAAGTAAATCACTGTAGGTGCGCGTGATCCAAATATATGCTGATAACAACAAACGACACAGTCAAGAGATTACAAGACCAAGTTACAGTACGGACATTGGATAAACAGACAACCAATCAGAATTCAGAACGTGAAATGAAGTAGAGCGTGGATGTGATTGTATTGTTATTACTCTACTAAGAGCATGAAGTAAGGATCCAACAGAAATGAGAGTGAAGTCTGTGATTTGATTCTTACTGATCTTCCGTTCTTTTTATCCGATGAGTCCAAGGGAGAATAACACGGAAGTCCTCTATAGCCAATTAAAACACGGCTCCTGCAGGGCACAATTATGATTGGTTCTATTTCTGTCTATGTTAACGAAAGCAAAGACTACGCTGAAGACCTCTCGTATGGGAGGATTTTCCTGCCCTGACGACTAACTGATCACATGTTTTAGCAAATAAGTGTGAGAGATGGAAACACACACATACTGAACACACATACACACAGACTGACATTCACGGACAAACATACAGACACAGACTGGTATACTGACACACACAGACATGCTCACGGACAAACACACAGACAGACTGGTATACTGACACACACAGACATGCTCACGGACAAACACACAGACACAGACTGGTATACTGACACACACAGACATGCTCACGGACAAACACACAGACACAGACTGGTATACCACACACAGACATGCTCACGGACAAACACACAGACACAGACTGGTATACTGACCACACAGACATGCTCACGGACAACACACAGACAGACTGGTATACTGACACACACAGACATGCTCACGGACAAACACACAGACACAGACTGTATACTGACACACACAGACATGCTCACGGACAAACACACAGACACAGACTGGTATACTGACACACACAGACATGCTCACGGACAAACACACAGCACAGACTGGTATACTGACACACAAGACATGCTCACGGACAAACATACAGACACAGACTGGTATACTGACACACACAGACATGCTCACGGACAAACACACAGACAGACTGGTATACTGACACACACAGACATGCTCACGGACAAACACACAGACAGACAACGTTTGTTCCAGATACGAAGGAAGAAGGTGACATACAGTTAGGGGGGGTAATGCAGGGGTGTAAAAAGTAAACACAAAATGCCAGTTTCCTGTGTGAAGGGAAAGTTTCACTGTAATACTAGTTCAGGCTGTAGTAATGGAGGGAGGGAGTGTGTGTGTGTGTGTGTGTGTGTGTGTGTGTGTGTGTTGATATTCAGAGAGAGAGGCACATACACAAAAACACAGATACAAATAAACACACACACACACACACACTAGAGAAGAATGAATCATAACAATAGGTGTTATCAGTTACCTGTGTGGTGGCGCTACCTGCAGACACCTCACCTGGTCTCCGCTCACCTGGGGGACAAAAACACAATTATTACTATTTATCTTTCTTCCCATATCTAAGTCTCTTTTACCTGAACTTTCTTCTATATAATAATAATAATAATAATAATAATAATAATAATAATAATAATAATAATAATAATAATAATAATAATAATAATAATAATAATAATAATAATAATAATAATACTAATAATAATAATAATAATAATAATAATAATAATAATAATAATAATAATAATAATAATCTACCTCAACACCACTTCCTCCTTCCTTCTCTTACCTCCCTTCCTTCCCCCTTACCTCACTTCTTTTATTTTACCTCCCCCCTCATGTAAATACCCTCCCTCTAACAATGCCCAAGTGACGTCACGGGCACCTTGGCATCAATACCCTCACTTAGACAGAATAAACAATGGAACATGGTCAGAGGTGCCAGCACATCACGTAAACACGGGCTCTCTATATCCTGTCTGTTCACCTTTTACTCTCTATTTAATTCTTCTTATTATTATTATTATTAGTTGTTGTTGTTACGCGCTCAATCATCTCTTTATCACTATATTACTAAGCACTGAAGACAAGTGACAAGATAAACAATGCCGACACTTTAACAAAACAAAAGAACATCAACAAGGAGGAAGACTATTAACAATGAACCCTTTTAACTGAACAAATATTTATCCCAACACCAAATCACATATACAGAGAGAGAGAGAATGGTGCAGGTGATGAGATATTATGAAAGTAATTTAGCGATTTATACCTTGCATATATAATTGCAAGGCGAATGAACATCTTTTGAAGTGAAAATTAGATAGTGAACCATAATAAAATCATCGGTGACACGTTCTTAGCGCCAACATTTATACGAAACAAGAGAACATCGACGGGACAGGTATAAACGAAGTGAACAATGACCTCTTTTAGCTTAAGAAATATGCATACTAGTATTATAAACTAGTGTATTAAGACATAAACTAAGATACACAGAAGGTGTACACGGTCTGAGAATATTGCCACAGAAAACAGACCTATAAACAACGAAACAAAACAAAATCTAAGCCTTTCATGTCTCCAGTGCGAACATTACATTAAACAAAAGAGCATCGTCAAAACCATAAACGTTAAGACAGAAAAACCTTATACCTAAACCAATATTCAAACCATCACAAAAAAAATGGATCGGGAATAAGAGAATGATGCAATAGAATCAACTCAGTTTCATATAGATCCAAGCGTATTTATAGTAAAAAAAAAATAAGTCAGTGTAAGCAGAAATATAGACACAGAACCACAATAAAAAACCGTGGGCTTCCTATCCTCAACACGAACATTTACACCAAACAAAAGAGCATCGGCAGGGAGGAGTGGACACGGTAAACACTAGGTTGTGTACCCCCGCCTATTCACAGCTGCAAATAATGGCGCCCCCACAACACACTGCCACAATGGACCAGTCTCCCTCCCACACTCCCATTATGGTGCACACATAGGAGGTTTGCCAGCACTTACGAGTATTGGCGCGAGAGACCAGTAGGAATGACCTGTAAGACACCTGTTTGATACACTAGTGAGACCGATGTGTACAGGGTATCTGTACAGGGCCCAAAAATTAACGCCTGATGAATCAAGAAGCGAGCGAAAGTCCGTCTGACGTAGCACTCATAAACATATCATTACGTGGTGTACGAGAACGCTAGGCGATGCTAAGTGCTCGTACTTTCATTGTTTATAAAGGTTTTAAGAGTGGCGGATGTCAGGGAACTATCTCGTGGGACAATCTGGTTTTTATTGTCATTTAGAACCGTGAATTACCAGCACCAGGGAGTGTGTCGCCCGTCCTTACTGACCGTGGTGATTACTGCAACCCCTCGTGAGTAATTAACACAGGTGTGATGAGGTAAGAGAGACAAGTGGAGTACAGTACTGTGAGTGACACTTGGAGGCTGTAGTGTATACTCTAAGTTAAGTGTCTGTTGACTGACTCACCTTCACTAGCACCCAGGCAGTGATAGTACCGCCATTATCATCACCATCACCACTACCACCATCACCACCACTACCACCATCACCACCACCATCACCACCACTACCACCATCACCACCACTACCACCTTCGCCAATCAACAAATGGGTGAGTCACTGAATTTCCCTCACCCCTTTCCCCACGTCCCAGCTCTTGGCCACGTCAGAGAGAGCGTCGTGATGATGACAGACGAGGCTGGAGTCGCTGCCACACATCTTTATGTTGGGCAGAC